CTACCAGCTATAAACAAACGGGAGCACTGAAAGTTCGGTTCGGGGTTCCAATCTCGGCGAATGGTCTAGCTGAATGGGCGTTTTCGGGTTTTCTCCATTTGTAACGTGTATGCAAGCTAGTATCCCTTGCCATGTCCGAAGGTTTCCCTATTCTTGGGGTTCCTCGAGTGCTTTGCTGTAATTAAATTTACTTAAATCAAATTCTTAGAGATAATATGAGTAACATTTGAGAATCGGCATTTGCATTCTTAATATTTTAGGTTTCTGGGCAAACAAATATAGAATATTCCTTTAAATAAGAATGTATGATGCGGCTGATAGGCATTTCTTTATAATAGGATAATAGTATTTTATATAACTACTAGTCATTTCACAATATTATAAAAAATTCACATCCACATTGTATGACTAATTTATGCTACAGAAGATGAGAATCAATCACTTTGGAATTGCAGTTGATAACACTTTCAAATTTCGAAAATAATTGAAAGCGACAGGTACAAAAATTTAATACCATTCACTCAAAAACGTTTTCAATTTTAGAGCGACGTAGTAAAAGTTTAAAGAATTACCATAATCGCTCAGCAATCACGCATTATCATTAATGCGTGATTTCGTTGTGCAAGTGTGGTCAACATGAGCAATATGAATAGATAGAATTATTGGATAGCTGTTGGAAGAGCCGCGGTTCTAATTCCCGCCAGGATAAAGCTGATTCTTCATGTTCTCTTGCTTCTAGAAACCTACTGCTTCCCGTAGTGGCACCTGAATTTAAATTTGCGGACGATAACTTCTCTTTTTTTTTTTTTTTTTTTTTTTTTTTGGATTTGGTTCAGCTGCATGTCGTGCCCCACCCCATCCACCCTTTAAATGCGGGAGGATCTAAAGAATTATCGCATTTTCTTTATGCGTGCTGTTGTGGTGTAAGTAGTTCACGTATATAGCTAGCAACCTGCAGATCCGTGATTTGAATCCCGGCGTGGGCACAGCAGATTTTTCATGCTTCATACTTCGGAAAATCTAAGGATCTAAACTAATCTTCACTCGAAAACAAATTATATTTTATAAAACACTTCTATGAACAGATCTTCTCTAGCCTTGTTCGGATTTGGGGAAATGCAGCTGAAATAAATCTGAGAAAACACTGAAATAGCATACAGTACAATATTACGAAAAGTACTTAATACTATAGATCCACTGTATTAAATCTGTGTTGTGTGAAACTGGCTTGACTTATGTCATAAGAAGAATAGGAGAAGCATCGTGAAATTCTTGAATTACATAGTCGGCAGCTCTTCTCTCTTCATTGTTTAGTTGAGCATTATGCAATAACTCCGATATTAGAGTCTCTGAAGACACATATTTTGGTGGACACATGTCACTGAAGTACATGCTGCAGCTACTTTGCCTTTCCTAATGATTTTGACTTTACCACTGACATTGGCAATCTCACCAAGATAATGGTCCTCGATAGGTCGACGAGTACCGAGGCTACTAGTGCTCGTTTTGAGTTGTTACAACTCTTGGAATATTTCATGATGCCATACCAGAAATTTCTATTTTCAGCTATGAATCCAGGAAGTATGAATTCTGTTCTTGCTGGTACTGTGATATCGTCTTGAGCTATGATATGGTGGACAGATTTAACTCCTTCATCTTTAATTCCAAACCAGGTTATGGCCTCATAGGCAGAATACAGTTTCGTTATTCCTAGTTCAAGGAAGAATTATATTTCTTCAGAATATCTGTTACATATGCCATGTAATAGTAGGCAATGCTCACAAATGTCATGTTAATGTTTAACTTTCCATCAAGTTTTGATTTTATCACTGGATATAGTCTGGAGGGTAATGCAGGGTGGTGTCCAGATAAGTTTACCTTCCAACTGTTGAGCTTAATCTTTCCGAATAATGGTAACATGTTCTTCAGTTCCTTCTAATCTGGCCTTCACCACCACAGTTCCAGCACTTAAGGGTGATTTGTTACCACTCCTATTTCATGTCAAGGCTTTGACTTGTTTGGTTAAATCTACTAGACAAGCAGTCATTTGCTCCTCTGGTTCCTGGATATGAGCAGCTCTGATTGGGTCTGCTGGGGTAGCTTGCTGGGCTGCCTCAAATTTCATGTCATATACTAAAGCACCTTTTAGATTGTTGAGATCTGCTATTCATAGCATTTTTTCTATCTCATTATCCCAGATGCAATCGATGAAGTACAGAAGGAGAAGTATTTCCATTGTTTCTGTTGGTCAGTTAAAAGAAATGAGATGAGACAGCATTTGAACATCCATGGGCTTCATTTGATAAGATCAAGATTTTAAAGCCTGCTATATTCTTTTAAACACTTCTCTCCAAAGTGCAGCTCCAATGAACCAGATAGATCATTGAAGGGTGTACCTAAGCATGTTACCACACCTTACCATAGACTGTAGTTTTTGGGAAATACGAGGGCAATCCCCAAAAAAAAAGGTCTTCTATTTTTTGGGGACGTAGAGAAAGTTTTAATACTGTTGTTGGCAACACTGTTGTGAGTGGTGCCTTCTCCGCTACCACATAAGCACGCAGGTGCTTCGCTCGGATGCTCAGTCTTGGCTTGGCAGCCATTCGAAATGGAGCTCCCGATAAATTTACCACCAAGTGCGAAGTGCGCGCAGTTATTCAATTTTTGAATGCAAAAACCATTAAACCGGTTGAAATTCACCGCCTATTGACAGAAGTGTATGGACAGTCGTGCATGGATGTCAAAAACGTTCGCAAGTGGTGTAGAGAGTTTACAGCCGGTCGGTCGTACTGAAATTCATGACGAAGAAAGGAGCGGGAGGCCGTCAATTGCCAACAAGTCAAAAGTTGAGGAACTCAACTTTCGCGATTGTTGAGTTCGTATTCGTTAGACTTTTGCGATTGTTGAGTTCGTAAAATGCGTAAAGATCGGAGGATCATCTGGATGCTCCTGAAGCTCCTCAACGCTTCCTGAAGGGCATGGCGGCAAGCTGGTATGACATGGGCATTGTAAAACTGCCACAGCGTCTACAAAAATGCATCGACCAAAATGGTGATTATGTTGAAAAATAAAGCATTCTGCAATTTTAAAGTGATGTAGCAATTATAGAAAATAAACGGTTCTTTGTATATCTAAAAATCTAGGAGACCTTTTTTGGGGGGATTGCCCTCGTATTTGAAGGATATCCGCTGCATCTGCTGTGACTGAAGTGGCTAAATAGCACTTCAAAATCCAGTCCATTTGCATTTGCCATTACGGAGAACTGTGTCTTTTATTTAGATTTTCAATTTAATTAAAATGGGGAAATATTTATCTTTTATTTTTCTTATAGCTTATATTCTGCCATTTTTTCTGCAGGGTATATGAAATACACCTATGCTCATATAATATTAGTCTGCTGCTAAATGTGTTTTTTACAATTTTCAAATTCTACTTTTTATTAAAGTTAATCAAAATTTGTTTAAAATTTTATTTTGTTTATTTGAAGTGCAAATGTGCATTGAATTTATTTTTGCTAGAATAATTTGAAGTATTTTCATCTCTTAATATTAGCATCAAGAAATAAATGGTTTGTTGTTATTAGTTAACAAGTCTGTTGCTATTTCAGAACTCAAAATAATGATAAATAGCTCTAATTAAAATTCATGTGTAAACTAAATATGAACTAGATTTCATTTGAAGGCTATTCATATAGGCATTCCTACCTTAGGCATGTAAACACTATGTACTTTGTCCTAATAAATTAATGAACTAACCAACAAAATAATTTTTGTTTTTTTGTTTTTCAAGAGTGACAAAAAGTACAAAGTAATTAAATTTAATGCTAGAATGTCAGTAGTTCATTTGTCAAACAGTTTCACATTTTTATGCAGTTGTGAAATACTTCTATTTTGTGTTTTTATGAAATCTTAATCCTCCCCCCCTCTGTGTGTAAATCATGTTATATAGTTTGCTTAAGTTCCTGCAGTTAGATTTTATTAGTGCATACTGTTTTTCAAATTGGCAGTTATTACGTGAAGATAATGTGCAGATTTTGATTTCCTAATAGAAACAAAAAATGCAGATTTTTTTATATAAAAATATTAATTAGTTTTGCATATATTTTAGGAATTACAAGAGATTTAGAAGAAGTTTATTCCTTGGATACTATGCCTCTGATCCCTGAAAATGTCTGCTATCTTTTTGTGGAGGTTTCTAGTGTTGTTAGTCCATCACAGTTTCATGTTATTTTACCATTTGGATCTAAAAGTGTTCATGAAATAGATTCCCTACTGAAAAGAGGTAGCTATAAAGATTTTTTTTTTTTAATTCTGCATAGCAGATACTTGTCTGATACAGAATGTTCTGTATTTTTTTCTTTTTATTTATTTATTTTTCTTGTATGCTTTTAACTCAGCTTTACGTTTTGTTTTCTGACTCTCATGTGAGATTTGTATACTTCCTAAAAAGTACTAGCTGATTGTAAATGATTTGCAATATTTATCACAAATGGATGAGGCATATGAAATAAGCAAACTCTTCAAGTTTCTTAATAACTATTTACAAATTATTATTTTTTTAGTATGAGTATCTTTAGTCACTCTACAGAAATCACTGCAGTAATCTACTTTATCCAAGACTCTTTGCAATGCATGGGTGATGCTTTCAGCTTTGAAAGTATCACACTTTGTGCAAGTTTTCTTAATAATTTTCGCATTTTATTATAAGGTGGTTTCATCAAGAAATAAAAGTGTTACATGAAAATCATTTTCCAACGGGACTTACGAATTCACTACAAAGCTCTCCTCTAACTGATATTGATGCCTGAAACATTGTGAAGTGATATGAATGCATTTTTAATCACTTCCATAAAATGCTTCTCTTGATTTTGTCATCAAAAGCTCCTTACTTCCTCTTCTCATTAGGTTATTAAAACTGCTTACTTTCTGTCACTCAGTTTATTTTTCTGTCATGGAGCCGTGACTGCTTCTTTTACAAAGGCACAAATGTTTTGAAACTGTAAATAGAATTATCTGAAAGTCGATCATTATTGAATTTAGTCTGCAAGTGTTTTTAGACAGTGGTAACTGAGTGAGTTTTGCAGAATTTGAATACACAGTATTCCTTCTGTTTACCGTTTTGCAAAATCCTGCCACCTTACAGAAGCCTGCTAGCAACCAAATCCGAAAGTACTGGACATTAATTGCAGTGAAAGTAAATTCCACGAATTTTTTGATCTATGGAAGTAAACATGTAATATATTTTCTGTTTTCATTAAACTATGAAACTATGAAACTCTGATAATCATTTACAATCATCTTGTGTGCTACTAGGTAAAAGGCTGTGTTAATACCTTAAGTAAATAGAGATGTAGTTGTTGCTTCCATTGTTAAAAACAGATGTGAGAAAAATGAAGTAATTTCTGCACATGTGAACAATTTAATTGGCAATTCTCAAAATAATATCACAAAATATAAGTGTAAAGCTCTCAAAAAGTAAAAAAAAAAAAAAAAAAAAAGTTTGGCGAGGAACACATTTTCTGTTTATTGCAAAAGTTTATCTTGTGAAGAACAAATATTTATGTTTTTGTCTTTGGACCTTAATAAAGATTTTTTGTACATTCCAGTTTGCCATCATTCAATGTTCATATCACAATTCCACAGTGCAAAATTGCATTAATTCATGTTTTGCTATCAATGATTAGTGATATGGTTAAAGTATTCGATGATTAGAAAACTGATTGGAGTATTTTTATGTTATTAGAAAGTACAAGTAATAAAGGTGTTTTTTTTTAACCCCTTCGCGCCGACTGTCATGTATACGTGCCAGCAACAAACACACTTATCTACTGGCCGACACGCAGGCATGCCAGAGCATTGTTGCATTTTCTACCGAATGTCACGTATTTGTGCCAGTACCTTGGAACGTTTTTCAAACTATAATTTCTGCCACAAGATGGCACTGTATGCCCATATGGTTTCACATACATGTACCTTAGACCTTCTACTCGAAATGAGAGAAGCATGACTCACATACACGTGTTTTTGATTATATAAACAAACGGGGAACTAAATGTTTCCAAATGGCGTGATTTATGACGTCTCTTTAAATCGCACTTTATTCGCACGTGGTAGTTGTTTATTGTAAGTAGAAGTTTTATATGCGCTAAAGCGTTGAGTATTTCGGTTTACAGTTCAGTTTTTAGAAAATAATTAAATCTTGTTAGCATTAATTCTTTCTGTTTTTACCGTTTCAATGTCGAAGCGTCGAAAATGTTTAACAGAGCATGAAATAGCAGAAATGATGCAAAATATTTCAGATATTGATTCTGAAATTCTGATATTCTGATATTGATTCTGAAAGATTAACTGAAAGACGTTTTCCAAAACTTTGTTCAGAAGAGACTGATAAGAAAATGAAACGCCGGTGCTTCGTTTGTTCACATTGCCGGAAAAATCCTCCTCCTCCAAAACGGTAAATGAGTTATTATGAGTTCAAGGAATGTAACGTAGGACTGTGTGTAGATCCCTGTTTTAAAATTTTTCATACGAAAAGAGAATTTTAAGTAATATATTTAGTTTTCAGATGTATAATGTTAAAAGTCATAAAATGGTGAGTAATTAAAATAAACTGTGTAAAATATACATTTAAACAAGAAATAAGATAGTTAAAGTATATATATAAAAATATTTATAAAGCATAAGCCATTTAAATACTCTATAGAGCATTATTAAACAATGCTTGATACTTCGGAAATTTCATGGATTTAGGCTTAGTAGCAAAAAAGCCCTCGGTCCTGGAGAGACGCTTGCGGAAGACACTGCCGGCCTCCGCGATAAGCGCGCGATTTCGCTACCCGGCTCGAAGGGGTTAATGTAAGTATTTTTGCATTATTTGCATTTAAGGAATAATAAATGAACTTTCAGATGTTAATTAGTTACCATTTCAAGTTAATTCATTTTCTAAATATACTTTCTTTCTACATATTTTATTATTTAAAAAGTCTTTTTGTTGTTGAGAAAATTCTCCCGATTTTTGAGTGTCGTAGGTTAGCAAGTATGTCATTGGAGGCACTGATATAAGAAAATATTTCTAACACTTTAGAGAAAGTATTGAGTGATAGGAGATTCAAAGTTTAAGGAGATTGCAGCAAAGTTAGATCCATCTAAAACAGCTGTTTTATGTATTTTGTATGAATACCTTCACACAAAGTTTCTATGAAATTTGTAGCCCGATTTCTTTCAGCAATTCAAAAGCAGTGGTGTGGGTTTAAAGAACCTGACCATTGCCTTAACTGCCGAGCTATTTATCTTCAAGTGATTATTATCTGTTCTTGAAACTAAAATCGAATCTACTGAAAAAAAGAGATATAGTGATGATGGTGTGAAAAGAAAAGATGTAGAAGATTTTGTAATAGATTTATTCAACAAATAATATGAAAAATGCATCAAAATTATGTTGAAACATTAACTATTAAAATTTTACTCTATTTGTTGTAGAAATGTGTTAGGTTGGAAACTTTCAGATTTTGTTGTATGTATGCATATATACAGTAAATCTCCACGTAACCAAAATAGTGAAGAAAAATAGTCATGAATTACTGAACTAGAAAATTAGATATCTCATCTTCATTTTTGATAACTGTTATATTTGTTTACATAGAAATAAAATATTGAATAAATTATCATAAACAGAAGTATAAAAAATTCTTCTATCATGAAAAGGAGTGTAAATCAAAAACCGAAGTATAAAAGTATAAAAAATAGAAGTATAAAAATCAGCATAAATATTGCATACATTTTGTTATATGTAATGCAAAATGAAATAATGTGTTTAAATCCATCCATCAGAACAAAACATGCTAAAAAAAAAAAAAAAAAACACAGAAGCACAGTGGCAAACTGCATGATAAGCACAAAAAAGGGATAAATCAAAAATGAAAAAGGAAAAAAAAAAAAATTATATCTTTCACTACATCTTTATCAGAGTGTTAGTGCAAAAGGTAGAAGTAAATTCATCAGCCTGTTTCTGGATCAATAAAAACATAAATTAAAGCTTAATACTTGAGGTAATTTGAGAAAATTAAAGTAATCTGTAACTTTTATCAGTTCAACCCCCTACAGACCGTAGTAAGTAGTGCAAAAAATTGCAAAATTATAGCATCAAAAATCATAAGCAAGCTTAAAAGATTAAAAAAATATATATATTGTGTGCTGACCAAGTCCCAAAAAGCAAACCATGTAAATATATGGCATATAGTTAGATTAAGTTTTAAACTGCTTTTTACTTTAAATTTATTCATTCATATAAATAAATTATAGTATATATAAGGCAAATATTTGCCATATGTGAGAAAAATTGTAAGTGATCTGCCACTTACTTTAATATGATTCCCAAATAGAGTTTCTAAGATTGAAATTTTGAGGACATTATGCTTTATTTTATTTCTTTTCCCTCCTGTTATGTATAATGTTTTTTAAACCATCATATATTTAAACTGTGATACTATGCATTTTGATTAAATGTATACAGTCAAAAGTCGTTAATCCGGACTCGTCGGGACTTCGGCGATTCCGGATTATCGATTTTTCCGGATTATAGATCATCAGTTTAAATCTCGTAAGATGGCATGCAGAAATTCTAAAATTAAAAATATGAAACCGTAATTTATGAAATAAAGAACAATTATGATCTAAAGGGTATCAAAATTTGCAAAAAGAAAAAGCTTAATATTTATTTGTTTACTTTATTAAACATTTCTTTCAGTGTAAGTTGTTTAAGTTTTGCTTCGTTTCATGTGATAATACTTTCTCTTTAATTCTATTAAACAGACATAATTTCTTGTTCAGTTACAAAGTTCCGCCGTTCAAGTCCTATAATTGCTGTGTCAAGAACACGGACTAATTTGTCAATCGAAATTTTTTTGTTTTCAATAACCTCTGTCACTTTTCTTCGCTATCGGAAGCGAATTATAATGACGAGGAACTTGTTTTAAATCATATCAAAGACGGAGCATATCGAGATGAAATACTACATTTGGTAAGGAATTATAAGCCAAATAAAATAAAAACATCTGCGCTGAAGATAAGGATAGTGCTGACAAATCAACTTCCAATTCATTAGGCGCCCGCCGCCGAGCAGCGTGAAATTGATAAACAGATTTCAGATTTCAAACATACTTTCACTTTAGATCCTTTACATATTAACAAATATATATCAGAAATTCTATTTCATATAATCGAAAGTTTAAGCTTACCTTTATAAAATTGCTCTTACAGTCTGCAAAAAATAATAAGCCGGAT